ATGAATAAATACATATAAATAAATGGCTGTGTGACCTTAGGAGATGCATAATATCACTGGACTTCAGCTGCCTTATGTGTAAAAATGACAATAACATCTTATTGCCTAAAAGTAAGAGACTTGGACTGATTTGGCACAGATTACAGAATTGGAAGCAATGGTAATGAGGAAGGATTTGTATGGAGAAATCTGCTAGGGTGCTAAGTAGTCCATCTGCTAGCAACAGTGGAGTCATTTTCTTATGGAATATTTGGCTATTTTGTTGTTGTTTTTAACAGATACTCATTGAGCACCTATTCCATGTTTGGTTCTATGCTAGGAACTGGGAAATGCTGAGCTAACAATGACTTTATTTCGTGAAGCATTTGGCTACGTGTTTTTTAACATATTATCTTACTTAATCATCAAAACAACCCTATGAGTTGGCACAATCATTATCTCTATTGTATGGATGAAGAATCTGTGGTTCAGAGAGTTTAAGTGATCAATGCAAGATAACAGCTAACAGGGCTGAGATACAAATGCTAATATAACTCCAGAGCCTAAGCTCCTCACCAGTACACTACACATCAGCTGAAGATCAAATGGCCATAGGGTAGGGAGCAATACCGGCATACAAGCATAGTGAATGTTCATTTGTGATGGGATATTTGAGAACTGCCTTGGCCATGAGAGAAAACACTGTCTCCTACTCCTTCCACAGTGGAAAGATATGTGCTCAGGTCTTATGTATAGTGCTTAGACTGCCTGGAGATAATTAATACATAGCCCGGCCTGTGTAGCTCAGTGATGACTCTCATCATTGATGTTTCTCTCTCTCCCCTTCAGCCTTCCTCTCTGAAATCAATAAAAAAATCTTTTCAAGTCAGGGATCTTGATTTAATCAAATGCCAATCTAAATAAATTTTTATCCAATGTATCTCTTTGGAAGGCAGCTATGCTCACTGCTATACCACCAACACCAACCAATGTGTCTATTATGAATGACAGTTACTCTAGTATTCTCCATGCTGATTACTGCCACTGGCCTCACAAGTAATCAGATGGTACTTACCCACCACAGTCCCACAGGTTCAACACCAGGTTTCCCAGAAATCGAACATGGGAATGTTCTACATCAACTGGAAGGTAAATATGACAAATCTAGTAATTGCAGCATGCGAGGCGAAATTCAAACTAAGCAAAGCACTAAGCCCAGGATTTAGAAGGACCAAAGTGGAGTGAAATGCTCAAAGCCACAAGAAGGTGATTTTCAGCTTAGTAGCGTGGTTTAGTGGCAAGGTGGCACCCCGATTACCCTGCGCTACAGAACTGGCTCTCATGTGAGTCGTTTTACTTTTTAGTAGTTTAGTGCTTAAAGCAGAAACAACTGCCAATTAAAATACTAATGTTAAAATCTCAACATGTAAGACAGAGACATATACCATTTAATAGCGCTTCCCTGACTCATTTACCCCTACCAAAGCCCTTCACAAAAATTTTTTTAAAACAAACAAACAGAAAACGCCCCAAAAACATACAACATAACCATATTCACTCCTTCTATTGATTTCCTTATTTTTATTACTGACCCGACCAATTCCACATTGGGGGTGGTCATTTTTGACTCCTCTGTCCACATTCATTCATTACTATCCTTTGTAATCTCTCTCAATTCCCACTCCTTGCTTTATAACCTGCCACTAACATTAAGGAAGGCCCTTCCCTTCTCAAGCCTACACAACCACAATAGCTCCATTATTACCTTCCACCAGGAAGCCTTACCCCCTTTATTTTACCCTCTAGGCTACTGCCAGGTTCATCTTCTTAGCACTACTTTGAACATGTCACTCCCCATTCAAAAAACTTACAAAGGCTCCTCTATGTCTATAGGGGGGCATTCAAGGTCCTTCAGAATGTGGCTTCCAAACTCCCTTTATATTCCCCAATGAGGCACATTAATAATGCCTTTTGCTCCAGTCCAATCTGGTTTATTCATAGTCCTCCCAAACCCCACTACCTCCCCAACCCCCAATGTACCTTACATCAGGGGTCGCAAACTTGCTAATAGGGGCCAGGCCAGTAAACATACAAGAGCAAAGTTAATCATTTCTGAAGAGTAAACATTTACCCAAGGGGTCGATGGCGTGAGTGGCAGTTACTCGGCTGTAGCTCATTTGCCATGCAGGAACATGGGTTTAGGATTAACAGAGTTTTCAATTTTTCGATCGTAGTGGGAAATCCAGATTTTTATGGAAACACTTACGTGTTGATAACTAATTCCAATTCTTAAAAAACATTGTACAGGCCAAACAAAACACATCTACAGGCCTTTTCCAGCACACAGGCTGCCTGTTTGCGACCTCTGCCTTACGCTTCCCTCCCACTCCCTCTATACTTTGCCTACTCTGTCCATCTGCCTAAAAAGTCCTCCCCACCTTTCTTGAAGAGTTAGATTCATCTTCTAAGACCCGACTAAAACCCCCACTCCTCTAAAAGCCCTACCTGGCCACCCCCACTTACCGTCATCACTCCCTCTGAATTCATTCAAACATTTACTAAGCACCTACTCTCTGCCAGGCACTAAAGGTCACAAGGAGGAAAAATAAAAATTCTTATCCTGGAAATTTTTCAAAGTGTAGCAACTATCACCTTTACAATTTATGTGATAGTCAATCAATCACACAGTGGTATTTCTTCTATGACTAGCTCGAAGCTGTTGCTTAAACTGACTGCTAACTTTTGTGCAATTTTAGATTCTCATAAACTGGATCGTAAGCAGCAGAGCATTATTTCTTTAAATGGACACTGGAGCCAAACAGTTCGTAGTTCTACCTCTCTGTGTGACCTTGGGCAAGTCACTTAACCTCTAAGTTTAAGTTTCATCTTCTATTAAAAAAGCTGGGAGGCAGACTACTGACCTCACAGGCTTACTGTGAGGATTAAAGGAGCTATCATACATAAAGTGCCTGGCACATAGTAGGTGCTCAAACTACCTCCCTTCTCCCCTTTACTTCCCCCTCCTTGGAAAAGGAATCATATCTTACATGTCCTTGTATTTCCAACAGAGTCTACGAGAGAGTAGGTGCTCAAACTGCTATTAATTTGAAGACTATGTAAACGGTCTAGTACTAAAAAAAAATGGAAAGAAGTGCTACTGAGAAAGGGAAAGACAATAACAAAAGAAGTGACAGGATTCAGTGACTGTTTAGATATGGAGCACATGGAATAGAAATCTGGTTTCTATTCCCCATATCACAGATATTGTTCTCATTGACCAATGGCCTAACTGCCAAATCCAGTGGACTTTTTAGTCCTTGTCTTACTTTCTATAGAATGACACTGTTGACTACTCTCTTCTCAAAAAATTCTCTTCTCTCAGCCTCTGATATCACATCTACAACCTCTTTGGCAGATCCTCCTTCATGGGCTCCTATTCTTCTTTCTGTCCCTTAAATGTTAGAGTTCTTTGGGATTCCATCTTTGGTCACCTACTCTTCTATGTATTCTCCTCTTAGGCATGCTAATCTATTCATATTATTTTATTTTCCATTTGGATACTGATATCTCTAATGCAGATTTCTCTCCTCCCTTTCTGAATCATATATTGGACATCTTCACTTGAATAAACCACAAGTATCCCAAACTCAACGTTTGCAACTATAATTCATCATCTCCCCATTCTTCCTATAAAATCTATTCCTCCTTCAGTCTTCTCCATCTCACGGAATGTAACCAGTTGCCTAAGCAAAAACCTTAGTTTCATCCTTGAGTCTACTCTTTTCCCCACCATTCCCCCCAAACCTATCAATCAGCAAGTCTTATTGACTCTACCTGTTAAATACATCCCAAATCCATTTACTTCTCATCATATCTATGACCACCACCCTAACCCAAGTTAAGCCTCCATCATCTTTTACCTGGTCTACTAAAATTGTTTCCTGATTGGTTAACCTGTTTCTACCCTTGCCTCCCCTAACCTATCCCCCATATTACAGATATAACAGTCTCTCAAAAATGCAGATTTTTATTCCAGTTTTCTTTAAAAATAAAAAAAAAACATTATCTCTGTATAAGTCTATATATGTATGATTGTATACACTCAGGAAAAAAAGGCCTGAGAATGAGGAAAGGAATATACTTTCTACACTTCTATGATGTTTGAATTTTTCACAAATATTATACTCTTGTCATTAAAGTTGAACATTAAAAATGATAAAATATTACTGTTACTTTCTGTTTAAAATTTTCTAGGGGCTGCCCTCTACTCTCAGTTCAAACTACCTGGCATGGCTTATAAGGCACTTTATGATCTAAAACCCACTTTTTGCCTCTCTCTTTAGTCTCATAGCTCTCCTAGTCTTCCTATCCTGCTATTATAAGAGCAACTGAAATGAACCAAGAACAGTACTTTGGGAAATCACATACATTTATGGGGCAGAAAGAAAAAAAATATTCTTTAAAAAAGAGGGAGGGCTGATTAAAGATAAAGGAAGAAAACCAGGGTAATAAGGCATTAAATAAAAGCCAAGGGAACAGAATTTTTGAGAAGATCGGAAATCTCGGAGCCGTCAACAGTGTTTTAGAATAAAATACTTCATAATCATATTTTCATTGACAAATTTACTCTTCCAACACAAACACATTTTAACAGCCCCCTAATAAAGTCATTATTATCACCATTCTGTATCCTTACTTCAAATTTCAAAACAAGTAGACTCTAAGTTTAACAAAATCAAACTGGACTTTTTCATCAATGACAATCTAGAAAAAAACACTAAACATTAAAGGTGATGTAATATATTTGACGTACTCTTTTACTACTTTTAAAGAAAATTTTAAAAGCTGCATACAAAAGAATAGCAGGTAAAAATCAATGTATTTTTAATTAGTCTATAAGTTAAGCAGTAGAACCCAATGACGAACGAACTAGTTAATAATACACTAAATCATGAAGGCCAACACAATATTTTAAAGTATAACTGTTACTACCTTTAAGGAAATACAGTAATTGCTAACAAAGTATTATCAATGAAGGTCCCGCTTGAGATATCCTTAAGGGCAAGAGCTCTGTCCCATTCACAACGCCAGGCACACAGGAAGCTCTGGAAAAGCACTTGTTGAATAAACGGCCTGCTTTGATGTATATGGAGTCATATAATTTGCAACATACTGTTTATAACATTTCAATGATGCTGCTAGATTTTAAAACTATTTTAAGTAGCTCCAATAGTTCTGAAATTTGGATCACAAGACTATTCACTAGACTTAGGGTAGTACGTAAAATCTGCTAATTCCCTAAAAACAGAAATATTAATTGGACGAGAAAAAAGGTGCTTCAATGAAATGTACAGAATTTAAAAGACGAAGAGAAAGAAGTCTTCCAAGAATTGTGGCTGTTGCACAATGAATGGAGCAGGAGCACAGACTGACATTCCAGCTCTCATGCTTTCGAGTTGAGTGAGCTGAACTCCTGGGTCACACTTCCTTCATCTATGAAAATGAAGTTAATATAAGGACTAAAGTAAATAAAATAGCATACAATAAACATTAGCTTCCTCTAATCTACTAAAACCGTGTGATCATTAGGCCCAGATATTTAACTTGGAAGAACAGGAATAAATTAAAATTTGGCAAATCAAGACAGGGAGGAAACTGGACAGGTACTTTCTAGAAGGAATTCTCTTGAGGCATGATAGGCCAAAGGACCCTGTCCTGACCAAAATTTCTGATGGACTACTTAGCTAAAAACTAGAGGAGATGTTTATCCAGTGTACGAACTGTACGAAGGCTAGGAAGAATAAGCAACATATCTGATGAAAGAATTAAAGATAGGTTCTACCCTCTTTCCTACTGATAAGGAAACTGAGGCCCAGTAAGATAGCGATTTTTGTGCTGGACTTCACAGTTAACAAACACTGGGTTCAGGAACATGCATGGGCTAAAATGAAAGAAACAATAATAGAGGTAAGCATTTATTCTTAGGTTCAAATTATTAACTGCAAAAGAATCAGGAGAATACGTGTTTTGATGATAATATATGTGAAAAGAAATTGGGTGTTTTTGCTATGACTCAACATAATGAAAGTCACCCCACAAAAAGAGAGCCAAACGGTGCTGCCCAGAACATGAGATGTGACAATTCTATGTGCCCTGATCAGGCCACATCAACATTCGAGTCTTAGCACTTTAAGAAAAATGTAGATATGTTCAAACAAGTCCTTAAAAATCCTTCAAAATGATGTCAAGTGAGGAACAGATGGAGGAAGTGGAGATGTTTGACCTCTGGAAGATAAGACTTGGGAGGTAAGAGATGGCTAGGACTGATTGAGACATTTATCATACACAAATATTTGTAGAGGCTCAAGAGAGCGGAAAGGGGACCAGCCAACAGAAATAAAGGGAAATAGACTCGAAGCTGTAACTAAGAAATGGCTTTCTAAACATTAGAGCTGCTCCAATTGAGAGTCTATACTACACGCCCAGCACAGAAATGAGGTTCCCTTCTCCTTTGTATCCTAGCATCTGGAACATAAGGTGTTTTTAAAATGTTTGTTTTCTCAAAACCACAGTAAGATACCTTATGAAGTAGGGGGAGACTTGTCCCTGAAAGTGTTCAGGATGCTAGAAACCCACATCAGGAAATCTTTAAAAGCCAGATAAGGGCAATGGCTTCATCACCTAGAGGCCAAGGACCATGACAGGATCCAGCAATGCTTGGATGCTGCAAAATGAAATGGCATTACAGCCTAGAGACAAAGGGGTCTCTCAGGAGCGTGGATCCACTGGCAGCCCAGTGAGCCTACACGAAGAAGCCAGATTTAACATTCAAACCATAAAGGGCAATGAAACGTTTCTCAAGTCAAAGCCAGAACTCCAGTGAGAACATTCATGTGTATCCAGGAAGAGAAACAGCAGAGCACAGATTAGGTTAACCTCCCCCTCATAACCCCCGGCCCCCAGCAATTTACCTTTTAATGAAGACTAAGAACTAGCAGCTGCTTAAAAAAAATCTTAGGCGATTTTATTGTTATGCTTGTTAATACCTATCAATTAATTTCCTTTTACATAACAGTTAAAAAACGAACACCTGCCCCCCCAAAGAAAAAAAAAACAACACACACAAGAACAAACAAAAAGATCCCTATGCTTGTTTAAGAAAAAGCAGGGTAAAAAAGAAGTTGCACGCGGGCATCCCACTTGGTAAGCAACCTAGAAAAGAACCACCCAAGAGCGCAAGCAGTAGTAGCCAGAATTAGGCCAAACACCTCTGCGAAGAAATGCAAACAGGGAAAACATGCTGCAAAACAAATCTTTCAACCTCTGCATGGCCAAGTTACTGCAACCAAGTGTGTTATGCGGATCATTAATAGTTAAGATCACCTGACTTTACAATAAGATAAAACATCTTACTTGTTGCACCAAGTCGACGAGTGTCTCTGGCAATATAATTTGCAAAGATAATAGATCTCATGCTGGTCTTACCAGACCCACTTTTACCCATCAATAGCACCTAAGGACAAAATGGGGGGAAAGAATGAAAAGAAGTTAGCAATCTAAAGCAAATCAAGTCTACAGGGATCTCTCTCTCTCCTGTACTTGATGTTTTCCGGAAGTAACGGTACCAACAACCTGGTGCAGATAATGGCAACTAATTCCTCAACCATCTGTAAAGGCAGAGATACCCAGAATTCCAGGGCCCAGATGCGTAGCTGTCATGAGTCACACATTCCCTTGGCAACAGAACTGCAGTGAGTTTATTATGCTATTAGTATACACTATCATGTATTCAAAACTATGTTAATACCCGGCCAGCATGGCTCAGTGGTTGAGCATCCCGGTCAGGGCAAATGCCTGGGTTGTGGGCTCAATCCCCAGTGTGGGGTGTGCAGGAGGCAGCTAATCAATGATTCTCTCATCACTGATGTTTCTATCTCTCTCTCCCTCTCCCGTGCTCTATGAAATCATTAAAAATAGATATATTTTTTAAAAACTATGTTAGCGGCCGAAACCGGTTTGGCTCAGTGGATAGAGCGTCGGCCTGCGGACTGAAGGGTCCCAGGTTCGATTCCGGTCAAGGGCATGTACCTGGGTTGTGGGCACATCCCCAGTAGGAGATGTGCAGGAGGCAGCTGGTCGATGTTTCTCTCTCATCGATGTTTCTAACTCTCTATCTCTCTCCCTTCCTTTCTGTAAAAAATCAATAAAATATATTTAAAAAAAAAAAAAAAAAAAACTATGTTAGCGACATAGCAACTTGAGAGGAAACTGAACCCTGATCTCGAATAATCTAATGTTTCGTGCACTGAACTATAGGACAGGAGACTTTAGTATAACCGAAAGTTTTTCCTCCTGCTCAAGGTCAACCTTTCCATCTCTGCTACCCATCTCATCCTTTCCACTGACCTCCATGATTCTGCTCTGTCTCTTCTTTTTCAATGTCCCATGGCCTACAGCAGTGGTTCTCAACCTTCCTAATGCCACGACCCTTTAATACAGTTCCTCATGTTGTGGTGACCCCCAACCATAAAATTATTTTCGTTGCTACTTCATAACTGTAATTTTGCTACTGTTATGAATGATAATGTAAATATCTGCAATGCAGGATGTATTTTCATTGTTACAAATTGAACATAATTAAAGCATAGTGATTAATCACAAAAACAATATGTAATTATATATGTGTTTTCCAATGGTCTTAGGCGACCCCTGTGAAAGGGTCGTTCAACCCCCAAAGGGGTCGAGACCCACAGGTTGAGAACCGCTGGCCTACAGGATCAAGTCCTTAAACTACCTATAACACCCCCCCACCCCACCCCCTAATCTGGCTTGTTTATTCCTCTGCCCTCATCTTCTGATCCTCCTTGCCTGGAACTTTTATTGTCCAGCCATACTGAACTGGACTGCTCGTAGTTCCTGTCATTGCTCCCAGATCTCCAGGGACCTGTGCACTATGTCTGTTTCACCTTGTACTCTCTGCCAGTAGCTTTCCATTCCCTTTTCTTTCTTCAGCTAAGCTCCACCCATTCTTCAAAATTTGGTTCAGTGACCACCTCCTCAAAAAGCTTATCTGGCCCTGGCCGGTATTGCTTGGTGATTAGAGCATCAGTCTGTACACCGAAGGGTCACAGGTTTGATTCCCAGTCAAGGGCATGTACCTGGGTTGAAGGTTCAATCCCCAGCCCTGGTGTGTGTGTGTGTGTGCAGGAGGCAACCAATGGATGTTTTTCTCCCCCCCCCCCTTCCTCACTCCCTTCCCTTCCACTGTCTTTGAAAATAAAAAATATCCTTGGGTGAGGATTAACAACAAAAAGCTTCTCTGACCCCAATACCCTAGGCTGGCTTAGGTAATTCTCACCTCTGCCCTTCCATGACACTCCTACCTATAGCGCTGCAAAGACCATAATGCATTGCAGTTACCCAATTTTTTGGTCTGAGCTCCTGAATGGCAGAGAGAATCCCCTTGGTATCTTCAGTGTCTAACATATAACAGATGCTCAAAATATGTTCCTCAAATGAATGGACAAGGTATCAAAACAAAGGTATTAACAAGCACGTCAAACTCGCGGCATGTGGCCTACTGGCCTTGAGTTTGACATGCTTGGTATAAAACAAGCAAGTTATTAACAATGAGAATTGTCCAATGGAAAGGCTGGCCGCATGACAGTGAATAACCTTCCTGTCAAGGTCAGCATTTAACAAAGACAGAAAAACACCTGTCAGAGATGCTATAGATTCTTGCACTAGAAGGGAATTGGATGAGGGGAATTCTAAGATTCTTCAAATTTATGAAACACAGTTCCAATCACCTTGCTTTTCAAATGAAGGGAGGGGTACATGTTCTATCTTCAACCCTAAAATAATGTATAAAAGTTCCTAACTGCAAATATAGGGAGTATTAATGAAAGTACACTGCACTCAAGCTCAATTTAATCTAGTTAGCTATATAACTTTATCGCACTAAGGAAATGTTACTCACGAGCCAGTCTAAAATGATTAAAAAAACGTTTTTTTCTTATTCATGCACAAATTTCTGCTATTTTCAGACAGCCTTATTAATAACTTTAGACAGGCTCATCAAGAACATCCCCTTAGCAAAGTGGAGTTTTTTATACAATAATTATTAGATGAAGTTAAGCCTAAATATGATAAATTTCTTTCTTTTTTAAAAAAATAATTCTTTATTGTTGAAAGCATTGCATGTCCCCTTTTTCCCCTATTGACCGCCTCCAGCCCGCTCTCACCCCCAACCCCCCCAGGCCCTCACCGCCCCATTGTCTGTGGCCATGGGCCATGCATATTCGCATACAAGGTCCTTGATTGATTACTTCCCACCATCCCTGCTTCCCTCTGAGATTCTGAAATCTGTTCCATGCTTCCAAGTCTTTGGATCCACTCCATTTATCAGTTTATTTTGTACATTAGATTCCACATATGAGTGAGATCATGTGACACTTGTCTTTCTCTGACTTATTTCACTTAGCATGATACTCTCTAGGTCCCTCCATGCTGTCTCAAAGGGTCTTTTGTTTTTTTTTAATTTAAGAAACCTTGCTTCAATTGTTTATGAAAGACTGTGTTAGGTACTGATCGAAGTGCTCTACATGTATTTGCTCATTTAAACTTTCTAACTACCCTATGAGATAGGTAATATTATCACCATTTTACAAATGAAGAACATAAAAGCCCCAGAGGTTCAGAAACTTGCTCCAGAGCTGTGCTCTTATGAATTCTGCCTAAACAGCAAGGTGGGTACCATAGAGCACAAGGGAAAGAGCATTCAATTCCACCTGGAGAACTCATATAACACCCTATAGTGGCCCAGCCGGTGTGGCTCAGTGGTTGAGTGTCGACTTATGAACCAGGCAGTCACGGTTCGATTCCCAGTCAGGGCCCATGCCCAGGTTGAGGGCTCGATCCTCAGTGGGGGACGTGCAGGAGGCAGCCAGTCAATGAGTCTCTCTCATCATTGATATTTCTCTCTCTCCCTTTCTCTCTGAAATCAGTAAGAATGTATTTTTAAAAAGGCCCTATAATGGTAACATTTGAGTTGGGTCCAACATAAATGTGCAGGCAGAGGCCTGTGTATGTATGTGTATGGCTTGCAGAAAATGCAAATTAATTTGTAAATTTGGAGAAAAACAAATTCTGTATGGCTATGATAAGGTGCATAGGTGTGGTAGATGGTTTAGTCAGGAATCAGTTTTTAAAGAGCATTCTATGCCAAGAAGTCCCTTGGATTTTATTCTTATGGGCTTTGAGAAGTTACAAAAAATTAAATGTGTGAATGACCCAGATAGATATTATGTCTCAGAAAAATTAAATTAAGAAGTAAAGAATGGGACAAGAGTCTGGGAGAACATTTAGAAGGTTCCTGCAACAGTCCAGGAAAAATGGTTACACCACATTTTCTGAAGAGTAACTTCTTACCTTCACCTTCATGTATTTGATGTACTTAATGCATCTTACCTTTTTCTTCAAGGCTGTATTTGGCAGTGCCCACCTGCAGATATAAACCATAAGACAGAATTTCCATGATCCAATTGCCTTAGAAATTGGGATTAAAGAAATACAAATCAATACAGAGATGCAAAAGAGCATGTTTAGCACAACAGCTGAGAATGGCTGTGTGTGGGACCTCAGTTGAGTAGAGGCCCTCATTTTCCTAAATTATACAACTGGGTTTATGCTAACCTATCCCCTAATTACATGCTCAGGCGATAGCTCCTAGTTATATTTATTTAGGAATATAAATGAGCCATTAAAATGCAAGATTCCATTTTTCATAACCTTAAATTTTTTTAAGCAAAGTAAACATACACAAGTGCTTTAACAAAGCAAACAATATTGCCATATTTAAATGTCCTCTCTTTTTTTTTTAAGCCAGCCTCCGATTTTAAAAATGTGGGAGCATCTTTAACCCTTCAGCTGTCCTTCCAAGTCATACTTCACTCATTGCAGGCACAAAGGATATAAAATACAAGATTCAATTGCAGATACAAATTGGCACAGAAAGCACTCGCAAGTCCATGATCTCTGCCCAGGCAATACCAACCCTCCCTGTTAGTCTTCTTATCCTCAATATGATGATGCCCAATCTCCTTTATTGATCATCCAAAGCAATTCAGAACCATCACCTCATTTAGAACATACCTCCCAGGGCTGGTATTAGGCCTGTCCCTTCCCCTCCCAAGGGTTTTTTCGGCCCAGTTACCAACCAGCCCTCTTTACAGTTTACCCAGTCGCCAAAAGCATGATACCAATCAACCTTACTAGTAAATAGAAGCAAGTTATTGCGGGTGGGGTGTCCTAATTCACAATACTCTCTTCAGTTAGAAGCTCCCCGCTCCCCACCCCCACCCCCATTTCCAGGTTGGGCATAATACCCTTCACCCACCCAAGCGATCCTTCGGGCTCCCCTATGGGAGGATCCACTCTCGGCCCCAGATTCTCTTTCTCCATCTTTTTCTCGGAGTCAGATTCTTCCATCGTGCAACAAGTCCTTTGCAGTCCCTCCTAAAGCCGCAGTACTGCTTATGTATTCCCCCCTTGGCCGCCCCCTCAGCCGCCTATTCTCAACGCCTGCAGCCCCTCGGCCTGCTCGGCTCTTGCCTTCGCCTTTGTCCACTGGGGGGCTGCTTTCCCCAGTTACCTTTACCACCTCAAACTTGGCCTCAAGGCGCAGCCGAGCTGGCCGGCTCCGAGGCTAAGTGATGCGGTGATGCAAAGGGAAGAAATGGAGGAGGAGCGGGGGAGCGGGAAAGAGGGGTGGGGTGGGG